GTATTTCAAGCCCTACCTTTGTAAAGCTTATATTTGGGTTACTTGATTGGTTGATGTTTATATTTTGTAAGTTTATACATTGTGCTATGCATTTATGAAACTTTTATTTTGATCACTACTGTTGTATTTTGGTTTAAATATTGATTAAGGTTTGTTTATTTTACTTTCATTATATTTTAGTCCTTATTTTTAGTTATGGGTTTATTTCATTTCCAGTGCCTGTATTATTTAACATTTGTGATTTGGGTTCTACTTTAGTTGTAATTATTTTTTAGCCTTTCAAGTTTCTGTTATTTTTATTTTGGTACTTAATATTATTTTTGGGTGATTTGTATTTTTAGTAAATATTGTTTAATATTTTGTTCTTTGCTCTGGATTATTTTTATTTGTTGTTCAGTCATTTAGGTTTCTGTTACTTTTATTTTGGTCCCTTAAAATCAAATGTGATTATTTATTTTTTTTGTTTAGATCTATTATATTTTATTTTATTTTGGTTTTAGTCTTGCATGTATGTGTATTTTGTTTATTACGACTCTCGGTATTATTTTACATACATTATTAATTTTATGTGTTGTAAATATTTATTTTATAAATTTCAAATTGTATTTGTTTTCATTGTTTCTTTATATATCGATTCGTTTCGAATAATTTCAAGAACATGTATTTGTAGAACGGGCGAGGAAAGTATCGCTTGATCGAAGTGGTACAATCTGATACGACGTTCAAATAAAATGGACTTGAAATAAATCTATTTTATTTTATTAATTAAATATTTTATTTGAATGATTCAATGCATTTTTATTAATTTATTTTATTTTTATGCAAATGTCAATATTCGTTTTTATTTCGATATGCGTTATTCGAAAATAGAATATTCTTTTATGGATAAGAAATAGTCGAAATAGTTTTCCCGATGGAGGATTGCTAATTTCTAGATTTCTTTTCGAGTTAAAAAATTTTCCTTAACAATAATTAATTCGAAGCTAATTAATCAATGTTCGATAAACGGATCATATTTTAACTTTATATTCGATTCACAACTTCCACCATTACGACAACGTGTGAGTGACACAGTACTAATTTTGGGCGTTGTGGGGGTGTTAATCATTCCCCACGCGTAATCGACTCCCGAACCCGTTTTAATTGAATCTTTGTAAACGCATTCCAGCTTTTCGCCTTGAAAAACGATTTTTCTTAAAATTATTTTAAAAGGCTTTTTAGGTATTCGACCTACCTAACTCAAAGGTCGATGGCGACTCCTTTTCCATTTAATTCCAATTAATCTAAAATCACTCAATTTTCCAAATTAAAATTATAATCGTTTTTTAAAATAATATTTTATTGTTTTTTTTAAAATAAAATGGCTGTAACAGCATAAGTGATGCAGCTTGCCTCAAAATCACCAATACAGATCTTCTTCTCTAGTCTTTCAATTCATAAATGACCAATTGATTTCTAAACCTACCCTTCTTCAAACCCACAGTTCTTACACACTGCTAGGCCAGGCATTCAAACCCACCCCGGCTCTGACTCTTTTCAATATCCGTAAGTGTATGGTTAAATTCGGAACCGAGTCAAGCCAGATCGAATTCTATTTTGAATAACATGCTCTTTCGGCATTTATTTTCTACCTAATACATGTAGCTGAAATCAATTGTATATAGCATACCAACAGTTTACTATTATCATCATTAGCACCCAGCTTCAATCATTCAGCCAACATCATGCTTACATGAACACAAGTTTGAAATTTCAAACATATGTAATTGCAATCATCATTGTTTTACATCGAACTTGAGTAACAAAATTGGCTGAAATCACAGTAAACTAGATTAATGGAGAACAAGGTATATACCATGAAAAAGAAATCGTGCCAAAAGAATGATCTGTGGCCTGTGGGAGCAGTAATGTACAACGACGCATGTGGCATTAAGCTGAATCAGCCACAGGGTAACTCTCCTTTCGCAAATCAGTGCAACCAAGCTCTTGTTGAGATCGATTACTGAATTTGCATGCATGAATCACACCAGAAATCACAATAATTACCTGCCAAGTGACAGTTGCCCTTTGGCGGGTTTGCTTATTGACTGATTATATACTTGTTGAGTGCTACAATCTTTCTTGAAATCACTTGACATTCAACCGTCTTTCATATGGAGCTTTATAAGCATTCCCATAGGTGTGTAGAGAGAATAACCACATACAAGAATAGCATATGCTTGAGGGGGTTATGCTATGGGATATCCTCCCAAGTAAGTGATATGGGAATATATGTTCCTATACTTAACTTATAGTCCGTCCATGGTAACCGAGACTAGACATGGTCAAATTATCTGAATTCGATATATTTTGATTTGATTTTATAAAGTTAAAATTTTTAAATTTCGAGTTTAGGTTAAATTTTGTGAAAAACAGAATCAGATCAGATTGAATTCAAATTTATGATGAAATTTTAACATGAGATGACACTATAATTCTCCTTTATATATTTTGGAAGAATTATTACATTGCTTATCTCTCTATTTTGTTGAATAAAATTACATTAGTGTTTGGTTGGGATGAGTGTTTACTTATAAAATTCAGGTCAAATTATATTCAGTTGAAGTTTTAATTTTCAGATATGGTCATGCGGTGAAAAATCCCTCCATAGCCGGCTAATAGGGGGAGCACCCTGCGATTGCTCAGGATACCTAAATTTTTCAAAGCTTACTTTTTACCTTTATAATTAAGCCACTTAATTTTTTTTCACTATCATTATCTACATTTATAATTGAAGCCCATGATTTTTTTTTTAATCTCACTTTTTACTTTTATAATTGAGACATCTAATTTTTAATCTCGCTTTTAACATTTATAATTAAAGCCCATAATTTTTTCAATTCCATAAAATTCTCAATTTCCCATTCGTTTCTCCATCTCTCTCATTAATTCATTTAATTTTGAATTAAATTTAATCATATTTTTCTCTTTTTTCAAATCACATCCTTCAATTTATCAAATATTCTTTAATTCTTAGTATTTTTTTAATCTCAATCTACCAGTAAAATAATACACCATTCTTTAATTTTTTTTATTTATTGGTTAAAATCAAGATCCATACCATACCCACATTCAATTTGTATTTATTTATTCTCATAGTTGCGTTTAAGGTATTTTTTAACAAAACAATGAAATATAATGTTTGACAAAATTTAATTATTTTTTTTATGATTTATTAATGTAATATTAAATTAATTATTCAAAGTAATAGAATATACTTTCATTCTATAAGAGTCTATTTTGTGAGTTTTCGCTTAGATCTTCGAAAATGTCCGAAATAACTTTGTCCCTATTCCTAAGTGAGAGATGAGTAAAAATAAAAAGAGTCAAGATCATAGTCCTAAACGTCCAAACTATATCTAGAGTTAAATGGATCATCATTGGGATGAAATAACGTATGCTAATGGATTAACCCGAGTTTCACAACTCAAATAAGGCCCACGATATATTATTTAAAATCTTATTAAATTGGTCTCATTTTAAAATTATTGAAAAGTCAAAAGAGAAGCAATAAAGTTTAGATATATTATGGACTATTTTTTTAAAAAAAATACAGCTGTTAGAAAAATTATTTTAGAATCTAAATCATTGTTAAAATTATTTTAGGATCTAGATAATTGTTATAATATATGTGGAGTTCGTCGTGTTTACATAACGAGTTTCATAAAATATATTAAAAAATAAAACTCGTTATGTGAATTGGACGAAAATTATATAGAATTCGTCATGTTCATACGACGAATTTCAATTATTTTTATTATATTTTATGAAGCTCATCATTTCTACACGACAAATTCCCAACACATCATAACAATAACCTAAATCTCAAATTAATTTTTCAGTACCTACATTTTCCCAAACTTTAACTGTTTTTAAGTGTATTTTTCTAAAAAGTTTAAAGAAAAAAAAGACGAACAAAGATTGCACATTATGTATTTATTGATTAATGTTTTATAAAAAATTAAGAATACAATAAACATTAAACAAATACATTAATAAAAATATTAGAAATTTAAAATTATTAAAAATCATAAAATATTCATTTTATTATTAAACTTTTTTTAAAAAATAAATTGTTAGGTATGGAAGGATGAAAATCATGTTATCTAGAATGAATTGTGGAAAATGTACCCAAAAGAAGCCGACGGCTGCTGTAGAAAAGTGAGTCAGATTTCCATGTCTTGAAAATGACATGTTTAAATTAAAATGATAAACCATCTATTCAACCACCTATCTACTTTTATAATTTTTTAATTATCTAATTATTTTTTAAATTATTTTGAACATTATAATTTCCTTCTGTTTTAGTCACTTTCGCTAACAAATAGACAGATTTGCTGATACGGTAAATTTGTTATTTTTTTAATGATGACATGCGTTTATTTTATAATTATATGTCATTATTATTATTAAATTTTTAATAACAAATGATTAAAACATAATGTTATATATAATTTTAAATAATATCTAAATGACTAAAACAAAATTATGGGAATAGTGAGTAACTAAATACATAATTTATCCTAAAATATATTATGCATTACAAGCAGCAACAACAAAATACTATTCTCATATTTAATGGGGGTAAGGGAGAAGTATGGTAGTAGGTTGTCCCCAACATCAGATTGAAAACAGCTTTCGTGGAAGACCTCCGGCAGTCAAAAAATTAAAAATAAAAATATAATATATGTATAAATAAATAAATAAATAAATAAATACATAATTGAATCATCTTCCTATGTAATATTTATATGATTTAATATTTATATGATTAAACAGATAACGATACTGCAATTGTACATGAAAAGTCTCGGAACCTTCTTACTGCCATCGTAGAAGGATTGCAATCTATTTAACCATGCCATCTCTGGATTTTTCTAACCCTAAAAGGAATTTGATGAGCAGTCTTGCTTCATTTTCTGCCTGTTTTGTCTGTACAATGTTTCATATTTTGCTTAGCTATGGCTTCCAGGAATCTCACCACCGATCAATCTTCACTCCTCGAGTTTAAAGATCGGATCGTCGGTCCTCAAACTGTGTTGGCAACCAATTGGACGATCTCTAGCTCTGTTTGCAACTGGATCGGTGTTTCATGCGGTGTAATCCACGAAAGAGTCATTGCTTTGAATCTTACAGACATGAATCTTAATGGTACAATCCCTCCTCACCTTGGGAATCTTTCATTTCTACTTTCTCTTGATTTGGGTGGCAACAATTTTCACGGCCATCTGCCTGAAGAATTGGGACAACTTCATCGTTTGAGGCTCATGGACGTACGCTTGAACAGTTTTAATGGCGAAATTCCATCAAGTATAGGCAAGTGCAGCAACCTTCAGAGTTTGGTGTTGTATTCTAATGCGTTCAGTGGGATCATTCCAAGAAGTATTGGGAATTTAACACGACTCAAAGAATTGTATCTAGGATCGAATCCCCTTGGATCAAGTAACCTAAAAGGTATGTGTTTCTCTTAATTTCTTTACTTGAAAACATGTTTTGTTGTTGTTAAATTGTTATTTCCACTATGTTTACAGGTGAAATTCCTAAGCAAATGGGTAATCTTGTTAATCTGGAGATACTATTTATGCAACATATTAAAGGTCTTACAGGTCGAATTCCGACTTCCATCTTCAACATTTCTTCTCTAATTCTTGTTACTTTTTCCAACAATAGTCTATCAGGTACTTTACCTGATGATCTATGCAGTCATCTTCCGAAACTCGAATATCTTTACTTGTATGGTAACAAATTATCCGGCAATGTTCCGTCAAGTATAAATGAGTGCAAAAGCCTTCAAATTTTAGAATTATCAGCAAATCAATTCACCGGTCTCATCCCAACAAGTATTTTTAACTCATCCACGCTTCAAGCAATAGATATTTTTGACAACAATTTAGAAGGTATGTTTTCTTTTCCTTCTCAACTTAAATTCGACTCGATATTCGATCCTGAGTCCGTACTAAAAGATGAAAATTTAACATTCACAGGCAATGTCCCCCCCCCCCCCCATGATCAAGGTTCCAAAGCTTAGGCTGCTTAAACTATGGGGAAATAAACTTAGCGGAAGGATTCCCAACTCTATCTCCAATGCTTCCATGCTGGAGCATCTAGACTTGGGAGATAATTTTTTCTCTGGTCTAGTTCCAGATACGCTTGGCAACCTAAGAACCCTTGAATTTCTCCAAATTGCAAACAATAATTTGACCACAAAATCTACTAATCATGAGTGGATTTTGCTTTCTTCGTTGGTGAACTGTAAGAACTTGTCACGTGTAGAAGTTTCAGCAAATCCAATGAACGCTGTTCTTCCATCTTATTTTGGGAACCTTTCAACATCCCTTCAATATTTTTCTGCTCAGGATTGTCAGCTTAAAGGTAATCTTCCAATGGAAATAGGTAACTTAAGCGGCATGTTGCATTTAGAGCTCCAAAAGAATAAATTGAGTGGGATTATTCCAACATCGGTAGGAAGACTGCAAAATCTCCAAGCTCTAAGTCTTTTCTCCAATAAATTAGGAGGTCCCATCCCTAAAAGCATATGTGATTTGGAGAGATTATATGCCTTGGTTCTCTGATCGAACAAGCTCCATGGATCTATACTCTCATGTTTGGGTAATATGACTTCTTTAAGGTATCTTCTCTTAAGTTCCAACAACTTGAATTCTGCAATACTCTCAACTTTGTGGAATCTTAAAGATATCTTAGAATTGGATTTGTCATCAAATTACATTAACAATTCACATGCTCTTGATGTTGGAGGTTTGAGAAGTTTGCTATATTTGAATTTATCAAGAAATCTACTCACCGGCGATATCTCATCGACGTTCGGGGGTCTTCAAACTCTGATTTCACTAGATTTATCTGATAACAAATTACATGGTCATATACCTGAATCGGTTGGGGGCTTGATTAGTTTGGAGTTCATAGATTTATCCAATAACAATCTGTCCGGAGTCATTCCCAAGTCTCTAGAAAAACTTTCACATCTAACCAATTTCAATGCGTCTTTCAATAGACTTGAAGGAGAAATTCCCACAAAAGGATGTTTCCCAAACTTTTCCAGCACATCATTCATGAAGAACTATGCACTTTGTGGTCCACCTAGATTGCTAGTCCCACCCTGCAAGAGTAGCATTCACAAAAATTCCAAGATGACCAGACTGCGTGCTTTAAGGTATGGTTTACCAGCAATTGGTATTGTACTAGTACTAATAGTCTTAACTATTACGTATGCAAAATGCCAAATTAAAAGTACAACTCTACCGGTTAAAGCTGATTTACTGTCTTTGAAAACAATGAGAAGAATTTCACATGCTCAGCTTTCACAAGCTACCGGTGGATTTGATGAAAGCAATATACTCGGTTTCGGGAGTTCTGGATGCGTATACAAAGCGAGGCTTTCTGATGGAATGGAAGTTGCAATAAAAGTATTCAATTTGCAGACAGGAGCTTTCAAGAGTTTTGAAACTGAATGTGAAACCATGCGCAATATAGTTCATCGCAATCTTGTCAAAGTTATTACTTGTTGCTCAAATACCGACTTCAAAGCCTTAGTGCTTGATTTCATGCCTAATGGAAGTCTTGAGAATTGATTACATTCTGAAAATCGATTCCTCGATTTCTTACAAAGGGTCGACATAATGATAGATGTTGCAACGGCTCTAGAATATCTCCACACTGGACATCCGACACCTATAATTCATTGCGACGTAAAACCAAGTAATATTCTACTCGATGATGACATGGTTGCACATGTGGGAGATTTTGGCATTGCCAAATTGTTAGGAGAAGGTGATGTGATGAAACAAACCATGACACTTGCAACTATTGGTTATATGGCACCAGGTGAATTTCTTATGATTACATTCTATATTTTTGTTTCATGTGCATGCTTTTATATATATACAGTAGGACTAATGATATTCTAATTATGCTTGAAATGCAGAATTTGGATCAGCACGAATTGTTTCTATAAAATGTGACGTATACAGTTACGGGATCGTTCTCATGGAAACTTTTATAAGAAAAAAACCAACTGATGAATTTTTTGCTGAAGAAATGACTATAAGACATTGGATCAAAAGATTATTGCCTAAAGGAATGTTAGATATTGCAGATGTTGATTTACTAAGAAGAGATGACAAGTACTTTGTTGTTAAAGCAAACTGTATTTCATCAATCATGGATTTAGCTTTGGATTGTTCAGCTGAATTACCAGAAGAGAGAAAAGACATGAAAGATGTTGTGATTGAGCTGAAGAAAATCAAACAAAGGTTTCTCAATATCATCGAACAAGTTATATAAAAGTGGCGAGTAATGAGTATGCTTTTGCTTACTAATTTACTCTTAATTTTTTTCATTAACTCCACATTTTGATCCATTTCAGTAAAGCTCGGCACTCATTTGCTCAGTTGTATTAGGCAATGTTTGGAATTCCAAACTCTATTGCACATTCAAGAATTATTTATATTATATTTAGAAGTTGATTTAATCTCTCTACTATATAAAAGAAATATTTAATCCATTATTATACTTTTTTTTTATTAATATGAGGTAAGTACATAGATATCGTACACACATATACTGATATTCATACTAATTAAATTTTATTTTTCATTTTTATTATTTCTTTCCAACAACATATATTACTGTCTTACTTTCATTAGGCAAATCCTCGAATACATGGTGTCAACATACGAGGTAGGATCAACTTCTCTTGTTCCTCTTTCTTTTTGAATTCGAACTCCCATGGCTTAAGTGATCAGTTTTGGTTGAATGATCTTGGTGATCTCTCCTATTTTCTAGGTATTGAGGTCAAACGTCAAGATGGGTCAGTCATACTCAGTTAAAAGAAGTTTGTTTGTTTGGATCTTCTTCATAAGACAAACATGGCTAAGGCTACCCCTACTTCCACTCCTATGTGTATATGTTAGTATTATGAACACGTGCTTATGGATATGTTGTGAGTTCTAGAATAGTTTGTAGTTCTAGAATAGTTTGTTATCTTGTAGCAGTTAAGTTGTTGAGCTACTAACAGTTTGTTGTAACAGCAGATGCTACCATTCTTATCTGTATAAATAGCTTCTCTCTAATTCAAGAGAGCTCAGCTTCTTGTTAATAAAGATTACAGAACATTTTCAGTTTCTTTCTTGCTTGCTTAGATAGCTCAAGTGCTATCTTATCATGGTATCTTTCGCCAATACCTGGGTGTTTTCTTCCGCTGTTTTTACTTCTTTCCAGTAGCTTCACGAGATTAAGCTTCCAGTCTCGTGTGATTCTTGGCATCATGGTTGATTTGACGGTTGATCCAGAGGATGTGTCTCCGAATGCGTCTTCCCTGAGTCCGGGAGCTTCGCGAGGAATGCTTGGTGTTCAGCACATACCAAAGCATGATACGGTTAAACTCACTGAGTCCACCTATCTTCTTTGGAAGCATCAGATAGCTTTGATAATTGATGGTTATGGGTTGTTGAAATTTACTTCTGCTGGTTCTGCTGTACCTGATGAGTTTTTCACAATTACAGCTGGTCAACTTGAAGAAAATCCAGGCTTTACAGCTTATCGTCAACAAGATAAGCTTCTTGCTTCTTGGATTTTAACCACCGTAAGCACTGAGGTTCTTCCCCATTTGACTGGTCTCACAACAGCCTTGTCGATATGGAACACTATAGCACGACTCTTTGGTGCTCGTTCCAGTGCAAAGATCTCTTCTCTCCGGCATAATCTTCATTCTCAACGCAAGTCTGGATTGACTATAAGAGAATATCTTGCCAAAGTCAAGTCTATTTGTGACTTGTTGAATGCTGTCGGGAGTGTAGTTACTGAACAAGAACATGTCAGTGTGTTGTTGGCTGGGTTATCAATGGAGTTTGAATCCATCATTGCAATTGCATCACGAGAAGCATTGTCTCTTGATGTGCTCACTAAGATGTTGTTAGATTGTGAAGCTCGACAGAAGGTGTTCTTGAGAGAGGGTATTTCTGCTAACCTTGTTGTTTGTTCTAGAGAAGGCAGTGCTACTGAAGTCAATACTCGTGGATCTCTAGATTCTGTCGTTGAGTCGTCACAGGGTCACATATCCCGCGGTCAGACGAATAACTATCGAGGTCGAGGCCGAGGGCGTCATCAAGGTTCGAATCGGCCGCAATGCCAGCTTTGCGGTCGCTTTGGGCATGTAGTTCAAAAATGCTATCATAGGTTTGATAGGGAGTACACGGGGGTGTTTGAATCAGATTCATCAATTGGAAATAATTCAAAATCATCTGCTGAGAATTCTACCAAGCATGTACAATCTGGTAGACAAACGTATGCTCATACCTTAACCTCTATGCCTCCACCTTCATCCTTTGTTCCCACACCATTTTATTTTCCTTCTCCGTATGTTCCTGCGTACTATCCCTTTCCTGGTACTTCTCCTGGTTTTCCTCCAGATGCTCCTTGCTTCTCTCATGGTGCATCGTATTCCTCTTTGACTCATGGTTCAGCAGCCTATATTGCTACTGTCCCAACTCCATCGGGCTCTAGCTCCTCAGTGTCTGCATACTGGAGGTAGTTCCTTGCTCATGGGTAATGGTGAGGGAATTTCAATCACGCATGTAGGCCAAGGTTTTTTGAGTTCTAGTAAGAAACCTTTGATTTTGCAGAATATGTTGCATGTGCCTAACATAAAGAAAAAGTTGCTATCTGTTTCTCAGTTCACTCGTGATAATGGTGTGTTCATGGAGTTTCATCCCTCTGAATGTCTTGTGAAGGATGCTCGGACTCAAGTAACTCTACTTCGAGGGAGGCTCACGGATGATGGGTTGTATCAGCTGCTGCCTTGTGAGAATCAAAGGCCTTCTTGCGTGGTGAATAACTTCTCGAAGCCACATGTGTCTTTGAAGTTGTGGCATCAGCGTCTTGGCCATCCATCTCTTGATACTGTTCAACGTGTTTTGAAGTCGTGTAATCTTGCTTTCAATAAAACTGAAGCAGTGAATGTGTGTTCTGCTTGTATGCAAGGGAAATCTCACAAGTTGCCCTTTTGTAAATCATTGACTGAGTATAATGCACCTTTTCAACTTGTTGTTTCTGATGTTTGGGGTCCAGCTCCTCTCTTTTCCACAGATGGATTTCTTTCTTATGTTTCCTTTGTTGATGTTTGTAGTCGTTTTACTTGGATGTATCTCTTGAAACGTAAATCTGAGGTGGCTCAGTGCTTTCTTGATTTTGCAAAATTTGTTGAAGTACAGTTTGGATATAAAATTAAAGCTCTCCAGACTGATGGTGGTGGGGAATATCAACCACTTCGAAAATGGTTCTGTGCAAATGGGGTGCAACATCGTCTTTCGTACCCTGGTACCTCGGAGCAGAATGGTAAGGCTGAGAGAAAGCATAGACACATTGTTGAAACGGGACTGACCATGTTGGCACATGCTTCTTTACGTCAGAAATTTTGGAGCCATGCTTTTGTTTAAGTTGTTTATCTTATCAATCGATTACCCACACCTGTTTTATATGGAAAGTCTCCTTTTGAAGCTCTGCATCATGTCTTGCCAGATTACTCTTTTCTCAGGGTGTTGGTTGTGCTTGCTAT